TTGGACACAGTCTCCCCATTTATATATGTCGCCAAACGATGTAATGATAATCAATTTGAATACATTGACTTATGTTAAAAAAATCAAGAGAAAATAACAATAAAATTTTATCAAAATATATAAATAATAATCATGTCATAATTTTTCTAAAATTCTTAAATACCTTTTTGACATTAATGCTTTTAAGTTAAATAATTAAATTATTCTTTGTTTAAAATAAAAATTACGAGTTTGGCTTTATTTTTTCAATTAAATTTTTTTTAAACAATGACAATTTTTATTTGGTGAATTGTAAAAATTAAACAAGAAATCATAACTTTTTATGTAAATTTTTTTTATGATTGATAAATAAGTTCTAAGAATAATCGGTCCTAATCACAACTTTTGTTTAAATAATTACAACTTTTATTATGTGAATAATAAAAATTTAATAAGAAATCACAATTTTTCACGTGCAATTTCTTTTATAATTAACATCTAAGTTCTGAAAACAACTAGTTATAATTTTTATTCAAGTAATCACAACTTTTATTTAGTAAATGATAATAATTGAATAATAAATCACAATTTCTCACGTGAACCCATTATTTTTTATTTCAAACAAGGGATAATTTAATCATTTAATTTAAAATCATTAGTGTTAGAAAGGTACTTAACAATTTTAGAGGAATTATGGTATTTTGAAGAATCTGATTGTTATTTATATATTTTTATAAAATATTATTACTATTTTCCCAAAAATCAATCTCCATATATTTTAAAATATCTTGATAAGTAACTGAAAGGTAAAATATAATCTCTAAGGACTGCTGAAAAAATTTTATATCAAAGAAAAATTTTAAAAATATAAAATTTCACTGCACTCCCCTGGTACTTATATAAAAATAAGATTTGTTGATAAAATATTTGATTACCCCTAAAGTTTAATAATTTAATGACTTATTGTTAATTACGTATGTTTAGCTATCAAAATCTAAATAGATGTTTGTTTATGAAGAATTAACACTTGTATAATTAAACATTTACTATAAGTTACAGTTACTTGTTAATTCTAAATGTGTTGTTGTTAATTATGTAAGATTACCTGTCAAAGCTCAAATAGATGTTTGTTTATATAGAATTAACATTGTATAATTAAACTTGTGTTATTGGTTTTTGTAACTTATTTATTTTCAAATAAATTGTTGTTAATTACGTATGGTGACATACCTAAACATGAATAGATATTTATTTATGCATCTATAAAATCTTATGGGTAATTGAATATTTCTCACAAGATCTTATTTTTATAGAGGTACCTAAGGTACAGTGAAATCTTAAATTTTTAAAATATTTCTTCGATATAAAAAATCTTTAGGGTTCTTTAAATGATATTTTTCTTAGTTGAAAACGAAAAAAGCTTGGGCACCCCCCCGGGGGGTTCTCATTTGCTGTTGGTACTGTTGTTCAGTTGACTCACCGTCTAATCCTTCTCCTGGATGGTCTGAAACAAGCCGGAGGCGAATCATATTTCATATTTCTACAGAACCTTTTTTCTTATTCAATATTAATAATTAATAATAAATTCGCAAACGGGTTTTATCTAATTCTGTTGATCCATATATTGAGAATCCATTTACCTAACAATATTTGTCTCAAATAAAACAACTAAAAGTGGCTTCATTTGGGATTAGTTAAAGATTCTGCATGCAACATGCACGTGATGGTCCCGACTCTAGTTTCTGGCGAATAATTTATGCCGCCAAATTGCTTGAAAAGTTTTAAAAATAAATAAATAATAAAAAGTCAGATATTTTTCATGCAAAGTATTCTTCATGTCATAATCAGGCAGAATGACATTAATGTCTTAAAGTAATACATTTATGATCACTAGGTTCTCAGTAATTTTTTAAAAATCATTTATAAATATTAATTTAGATAGTCATAAATTTAAGAGTTTTAATTACAAATAAAATATTTAAATTTAAATATTAAATATAAATTTTATTTTACAGTTGAGATTATTTTTTGAAATTGAATATTTACAACTTATTTTTTAAGAAAATTTATCATAAACTTAACTATAATAAATCTTCATTTTCGGGGCTTTATTGTCACTCACCCAAAAATTCGTTAATTTAGGATCTCATCAAAATTTAAGTTCCCAAATTCATTAAAAAAATCCTAATTAAATATTAACCTTTTTATGATCTTTAATTTTCATTTTCTTGGTAAGTAATGTTTTGTTTTCTTTTTCTCTCTTGAAAAATCACATTCAACCTCTTCTTAAAAAAATTAATCACAAATAAAAATTAATAATAAATTTTTTAAAAAAATTAATTATGTTTTTATTTTAATAATAACCTGTTCTGTATTAATCTTTATTTATAATTTATTTTTTTGGGAGAGGTTTAAATGTTATTTTTTCTCCCTTCTTTTTCTTTTTTGAAAAAAAATATTCTTCCACCACGCAAAAGTTGATGCGTATAGTTGTTTTATTATTTATTGACCACAGCTTCAACGCAAGAGGTCACAGCATCTCCTCGGAATATTCCTTAATTGATTCAATCTAGATTCTCCTTTTGTTTCACTGGATTGACCTTTTATTTCTCAAATTGTCACCCTTTTTTTTTTTTTGATGTTTTTCTTTGTATAGGTCACCATAGGCGTGCACAATACGTAAATATATTATTATATATAATTAATATTAATAGTATATTTGATTTCAAAGTTCAAACACTTAGATATAAAAATAAAGGATTATTGCTTAAGTCAATGGAAGCCAGATTTTTTCATTTTATTTTTTTAGACTTTATGCATATAGCTAAATGTAGGTTTTTTGCACTGCGCATGCTTTAAAGAATAAGACAAATTATTTATGATTTATCGATAATATAAATTTTATATGAAAATAAGTTCATATTGTCGAACTAATTTTTTTTTTTTAAGTTTTAAAACGTGACTAGCTCTAGCTATTTGACTATGTAAGGCATGGACTTCTTTCTCCAGTACAGAAATTTAAACTTAAAATCTAAACATAGATAGTATTAGCAGTATATCATCATTTAATGATATAAACAATAAAGTTCAATCAACAGAGGTTTTTTTAATTGCTATTTCCATGACGATCCAGATAATACGGTGGCCTTTTTAGTCTGTTGGTCAAGAAATAAAGGACAGCCGTTGGTTAAAGAAAAAGTTATAAATTCTTGACAAAAAAATAAATAAATTATAAATGATTAATATTGCAAATAAATAATCAGTATTCCATCCATTAAAAAATATTTTATATTTTTTAAAGAGTTGAATGTTTAAAAATATAAGACATTTTTAGTTTTTTGAGGTGTAATTATTATCTTTTTTTTAATATTCTTATTGATAGTGACTTTATATTTATTATAAAGTGTTTAATATAAATAAATATAAAAAAATAAATTTAATTTAAAGATAGATAATTATTTTATTGTGAGATAAAATTTTATTAAAAATATTTTTTATTTTTAAATAAAAGGAATATATTTTACTGATCAAAATAATGAGTGTGTTTCGTTACAAGCCCAACAAAAGAAGGGCAGAAAGTAGTAGAAAAGCAGCTTTAGCCCCCAGAATCAGTGACCCAGGGCATTCCGAAAAGAAAGCAAAAACGATTGTCGTTTTATCACCTAATCGTTCGACAAATCACACAATAATAATAATAATAATAATAATATGGCTATTACCACGATCCTTGACCCAATTCGTCCGTTTAGTTTGACGCTCCTATTTCGTTCAACGGCAACGAACAAACAGCAGACGCCGTCGGCTAACAGTAGCTTTTCTCTTTCGGTTAAAAGTGTTAATTTGTTATTTTAGTCTATTAACATTTTTTATTAATTAATTAATTTTCTAGATCTTTATATAAGTTACTCCTAAATCACCACTGGAACTAAATATAGTAGCAGGTACAGCTACATTATTGATTTTTTCTGTAAACGAAAAACTTTCTTAAATTATTCTTATCATATGTATTATTTTTTAAAGCATTATTTCACAGTTTTACTCGACAAGTGAAAATTATAAAAAGCTCAAATTTGAAGAAAATAATTAAAGATTAAGGTACCAAAATAATCATGATTTTTTTTAATAAGCTTATGATATCTTTAAATTCAATGTATGTATACTTATTAATTTTATAAAAGAGATTAACTTTTTTCAATTGTTAAAATTATCCGACGTTAACAGTTAGTAAGTTCTAAAAATAATAAATGTTTGATTATCAGACTACTTTAATGAATTGAGGAAGGCTGATCCTCTTATATTGTCGTCTTAAAAATGCAGAAGCTTTAACCCAAGAATTAATTAAATAAATATATTTGACTTGTTGATCAAGAAGGGGTGCATCTATAGTTAGAAATATGGGTGGGTTTGATTTTTAAAGGCTTAGGTTTTTGAATCCGGTTCTTCATTTTTCACTCTCTTTATAATTAAAAGTTTTGTTCTAAAAAATTAAAAAAAAAAATAAAATTAAACATTATAAATTAATTAAAATATTTTAAAATTAAAAAAAATTAAAATTCTCATAATATTTTAAAAATTAAATAACATGTTTAGAAATCTAAACAACATACATTTATCAATCAAAACTCAAATTCTCCTCATCCTCATCATTTACAAATAAAATATTAGATCTCTCGGATGTAAATGTATTTATTGAAAATAGAGATAGATATTCAATGTCAATTACCTTTACAACTTCTTTTTTATTACCTACAATAAATATTAATAAAATTATGTCATTATCAATTAAATATATATATACTGTATGTATATATATATATAAGATAACTAGACTTATTAAAGTTTAAAAAGTCGCTTTAATTCGAATTCTTTTTTATAGGACTTATCAGAGTCTGCTTTTAAGTTTGATTTTTTTTTTAAAAATAAATTTTAAAATTTAAATTTTTATTTAAACAGGTTTACTGGCCCGGCCCTTTGAGCATGGCTCTAGATGTGTCCCAGGCGATCTCAGTCGCGCGTGTGTTTCACTACACGAATCTTTCCCTCTCAGACACGGCGAGCGAGCGTCACCCAGAAGGTGTCACTGTTCCTCATTCACTCTCCTCCTCCATAAAAGTTGCCTTTCTTCTGCGATCCCTCTATCAAAACTGTTGAAACCAAAACCAGAGGAAACGAAACTGTTTTTTTCTCTGCCACTTGTTTTACTTCTCAAACAGCTTACCGTCGCAGAAACTTCCAACATTCACTTTCTCCAAAGGCAGCGGAAACCTCTCTCTTCCTTCTCTGTTCCTCTCTCGATTCTTTTGGTCAACTCCGTATACTATATAAATTTGATCTTCATCTTCCCTTCCACGCAGAATCTCTGTGACCGATACCTATTTTTTTCCCAATATCTCTTCTATTACCACGACCACTACTGTTATTAGCAACTCTGCTCTCACCGGGATCGGCTGCTCTGATTGACGTTCTGGGTCGGGTTCTGAAGTTGAGAGATATCGGGTCGTGATGGCGTCTTCTTTCAATTCTAAACCTAAGATCATCAATGGACCGGGAGGTTATGTTCTCGAAGATGTTCCGCATTTGACCGATTATATTTCTGATCTTCCAGTACGTCGTCGTTCTTTTTCTACTCCTCTCTTGTTTCTGTTACGTCCCATTAAAAGCTGCTTCTCCTATAGGTAGTTGATTTTCAGATTCAGTTGCCTTTTCATGCTCCTTTGTTGTTTAATAAACAACTGCTTCTTCTTTCTGCTGTCTGAATCTTAAGGCAATTTTTCTTTATTATGCTGAATTCAGATTGGTGACGTCGTTATATATATGAAACGCGAGATGAGTTAGTTAATGAATAATGTACTTTGTTTAGATTTGTAATTGAGAAGTTAGTTTTTTTGGTGTTTTTGCAGACATATCCCAATCCTTTGCAAGACAATCCTGCTTACTCTGTCGTTAAGTAAGTGTTTTTTTTTTCCCCATCTTGCAGCTTGTATTTTTCACTTACTGTACTGGTTCGCTTAGATGACAAGTTGAATTTGCTTGTGATTTGGCAGACAGTACTTCGTGCATGATGATGACACTGTTCCTCAGAAGGTTGGTCTCTTTCTTATGTAATTTCCTTCAATTCTGAAACGATCGTTCATGGTTTATATTACATATTACTAGGACGCTTTTCGCTTAACTGGTTATAAATACATATAAAGTACCTTGAAAGGGCTATCTTGAACATAATTTCTACCATTGTCCTGGATTGGAGACGGTACCAAAAGCATTAGCCATTAACTGATCGCTACAGTTAGGTGGTGCTGCATCTCCAACTTCAGGTATGTGTGATAAATCGAATGGTAATAACTACTAACTGTCATAAGATGATAAGTTGCCTGTTTTTGACGCTGGCCCAAAATCTAACAGACAAACAGGTTTATTGCAGAACTGAGAATTTAGGCTGCGGGTTTGACATGGTTATATAAGTAACATATCATTTATTTCCCATTTTTAATGGTAGGTTGTTGTTCACAAAGATGGTCCCAGAGGCACACATTTTCGTCGGGCTGGACCTCGTCAGAAGGTATATTTCTGTGGTGTTGGTATGTCTTGGTAATAACTGATATATTAGATATTTTTCTTATTGCTTTTTCTTTAAATTGGATATTTAGGTGTATTTTCAATCAGACGACGTGAAGGCTGCCATTGTTACATGTGGGGGTCTTTGCCCTGGGCTCAACACTGTGATTAGGGAGTTAGTATGTGGCTTAAATCATATGTACGGAGTGAACAAGGTCCTTGGAATCGATGTAAGCGGATGTTATATCATTTGTTTAGGAAAGTTTTCATTCTGAATAAGAATTGAATGGGATCAATATGTTCATCAAAAGAAAACAATTAAAACATAGAATGCTCTCTGCTAAAATACTTCAATATGAAGATTGCGCCTAATGCTAGTACCATTCCTTACGAAGAAGGCTTTATGCTTGCATGTAAAAGAAGAGAAGAGAAAATATACCCACTTATCTCCTCTGTTTTTCTCTGTTTTGTTTTGTTTTGTTTTGTTTTTTGATAAGTGAAGAGAAAAATGAGGGAAAAATAAATGTAAGAAACAAATTCATCCTTGCATCCGTGTCATAGATAATTTTGTAAATAATAATTGAGTAATTTAAAGTATAACTTACCATTTTTAGAGAGATTAATTTCAGTGGTATATGACTTTTTCCCCTAATTTCATTCCCTTAAGGCAAGAACCTTATTCTTTTTTTTGTTTAAATTCATGCAACATTGTACTTCAATGGTGTCTCTTCTCAATGAAAAGTTATTCAGTTCTGAGTCTGAGGTATTTTTCTTTTGTTCTTATTTTTGTCCTTCTTTATCCAAAAGATAGTAAAACTTGTTATTTTAGTTTTCTATTGACTAAAGCAATGCTGTGCTGTGAAGGGAGGTTACAAGGGTTTCTATGCTCGCAATACAATTAATCTAACTCCCAAGAGTGTGAATGATATCCATAAACGTGGAGGAACTATCCTTGGCACATCACGAGGTGGGCATGACACCACTAAGATAGTTGACAGTATTCAAGATCGGGGAATCAATCAGGTCTGTGTCTCTTTGCATTGACCAGCGCATATTATTTGGTGAGGACATCAAGTTAATATGTCTTTGATCTCAGGTTTACATAATTGGAGGGGATGGAACTCAGAAGGGAGCCTCTATGATTTATGAGGTAATCATAATATGGACAAGGCTGTTAGTTTTTTGTGTTAAAAAATGTGATTGAGCTTCTTTCATATGTCAATTTTTCTTGTTAAGATTTGTCAAACTGATTGTAGCTAAATATAATTTATAATTAGCCCTCATTATCTGTACAGGAAGTTAGAAGGCGGGGTCTCAATGTTGTAGTTGCTGGAATTCCCAAAACCATAGATAATGACATCCCGGTACTTGATTCATTCACATTTTGATTTCCAACTCAATTAATATAAATCCATTAGCTTTATTAACGTACAATGGTTTTATGCCTTTTCTCTCACGCTTGATAGGTAATTGATAAATCCTTTGGATTTGACACTGCTGTTGAGGAGGCTCAACGTGCTATAAATGCAGCACATGTTGAATCTGAAAGTATTGAGAATGGTATAGGTGTTGTCAAGCTAATGGGTCGCAACAGTGGTAAGTTGTCTGTGTCCTCATCACACCTCCACTTATTAGCTTAGTTTTATCCCCATCATTGCATTTTATGGCCTGCATATTAAGAAGCTTGTATTCAATATTTATTTGACTTGACAAAATATTAAATACCATGCACTTTAATTCCTTTCTTATTCTTGTTGGTGGATCTAATGTTGTTTCATATATGCTTTTTCTTGGACGATTGGTGCAGGGTTTATAGCAATGTATGCTACACTTGCAAGTAGAGATGTGGACTGTTGCTTAATTCCAGAGTCTCCCTTTTACCTTGAAGGTCCAGGCGGGCTTTTCGAGTATATAGAGAAAAAACTTAAAGAACAAGGGCACATGGTAATTGTAGTTGCTGAGGGGGCAGGACAGGAGCTTGTATCGCAGAGCATCCAATCCATGCATAAGCAGGATGCTTCAGGAAACAAGCTTCTTCAAGATGTTGGACTATGGATATCCCAAAGGATTAAGGTATGGGTTCTAAATTTTCCATTTTTGCCATGCATCTTGCACTCTTCAGTTTGATCCTCACCAATATGTTGCAACGGAATAATATATATATGTAATTACGTTCTACCTGCTTTTTACCATGCAGGATCATTTTGCCAAGCTCGGTACAATGAACATAAACCTCAAATATATAGGTTAGTGGAGATTTTCTTGAGGAAAAATATTGTTTATATACTGAAAGGAGTAGTGGGTATAATATTATTAACTAATTTTCTCCCCTATCCAACAGATCCAACTTACATGATCCGGGCAATTCCAGGCAATGCTTCTGATAACGTGTACTGCACGCTTCTCGCTCAAAGTGTAGTTCATGGAGCAATGGCAGGTTACACTGGCTACACAAGTGGACTTGTCAATGGAAGACAAACTTATATACCTTTCTACGTGAGTTCATTATGCGTGCTTGATGTTTGTTAAAAGCTAGGCGCCTGAGCACAAATTTTGCAAAAAAATATACAATTTTTACAGTTAAGAATATATTTTTTAAAGCTTTTCTAGTACAGATATAAAGAATTACAACAAAAATTAGGCTTAACATACATACAACAGCTTTGATAGTGTTGTTGCTGTTGCCTAGAGCATTGGTTGCTTTTCCATCCTATCATTCTCAATTTTTTTTTTTTTAAATTATGCAGAGAATCACAGAGAGACAGCACAAAGTAGTGATAACTGATAGAATGTGGGCTAGGCTTTTATCCTCCACAAATCAGCCCACTTTTTGGAGTGCCAAGGATGTGATTGAAGACAAGAGAGAAGAAGAACCGTTGGAGCAGTCAGGGGATGATGAGCATTGCCCAGATGACAACAACTTGATTGCCAACGAAATCGTCCCTATCCCTAATAATTCTCAGAAGGTTTAATGATCATTATTATTAATCAATCCCATATTACCCATATAAGTATTATTTGAGTTAGCCCCTTTTTGCCTTTCCACCTCTATAAGATGGCTGAGGAAATCTCACCCTCCCTTCTTCAAGATATTCCTTTATGTGTTGTTTTGTTTGATAATCTGAAATAAATCCTCTGTACTTCCCAATGAATCTTTAGCTTTCATATACATATATGCATGTCTATGCATTCCATTTAGCTTGGATATGTGAATTTTGGTATAGAGAAATTAAGCGTGCCTCACCATTGCACATGTTTTTTTTTTTTTTTTTTTGGGCCCCGTTTCTATCTATATTATACCCAACTATCCGTTTTTCGTTGTTAGTAGATTAGTTTTGAATATTGTCAGGTTTAACTAGAGGATAGTTTACTTGACATATTTTTTTGAATTTGTAAGTCTTATTTAAGAAAAAAATAATTCTTTCTATTTGACGTTGCTGTTTTTCTCCAACTTTTAAGTCTTTGGTCGGTAAAGGAAAAGCTACTTGTAATGACAAGACCAAAGCACTTTCTCTTCCGTGTTCCCATTTTGACGGTGCTTAAAAAAGCAAAAGAACAAAAAAGAGGGTGTGGGGTATAAAGTCAACTTTTCAATTGTGGGACTTCTGCAAGTTGGAAAACGTATGTTGGACTTCATGTTACACCCTTGCAAACAGCCAAATAAATACCACTAAATTCTAAGCTTAAAGGTTATAAAGATCTCTCTGTCTCTGTGTCTCTCTCGCGAGCGCGTACATGGAATGTTCTCAATTCAACTCATGAAAAATATGATCTTCAAAGTTCAAACCATATGAAATGGACTGGACTGAAAATGGTATTTAAAAAAAAGAATGTTGATGATGAGCTGAATGAAGGCATTGTAAATACTTGCTGTTCGATTCTTCAGCACATTTATTCTTTATTTTTAAAATCACGCTTTCTTCCTGAGACTTTCAAGTTCCAATCTCGGCATCTGTCTCTAGTTTTAATTCACTCAATCATAAATTAAAACCAAAAGTTAAAAAGCAAAAACAATATATTTTGAGGAGCATAAATGTGCTATTGGTATACAGAGTATTGTTAAAAGCTAATCATATATTGGACTCTCGGAGAGTATTTTGCAATATGGAACCCTAGATTAATCAACTAGTCAAACATATGATTTTATATATTTATCTTGGATAAAAAAGTAAATTAACTTCTAAACTATAAGTGCAAAAGTTTTTAAAATTCTAAACTCATTTTTGATATAATGTTGACTTTTAAGTTTTAAAAACGGTGTAATATGATCCTATTGTTAACAAAATTAACTTTGATAATTAATTGATTAGAAAATGGTAAAAAAAAGATATCAAAAATTACAAAAAAGACCAATAAGATTCTCTTGTATCCTTTTCTGTAATTTGTTTTTTGTTCATTGTCTATAATTTTTGAGCCTTCACTGTAATATTTTTTTTCATTTTTTGTAATTTTTGATGTATTTTTTTTTTGTCATTTCCTAGTTAACTAACTATTAAAATTAACTATTGCTAATGGTAAGTTTTAGATTGCATCATTTTAAAAAATTGGAGGAGTATATTACAAAAAAAAAATGAGTTTAATGTTTTAGATGTTTTTGGATCCATAATTTAAGAACTAATTTACTTATATTATCATAGTACGATAGTACGATGAACTTACTTTCTTCTTGAGACTTCTTTGATAGGTAAAAATCAGATTCACTATCATCGGAAGTTTCGGAGAGCTTAGAAGCATTCCACTTTTAAAAAAAAGCAAGAAAGCTTTAAAGGTTGAGTCGTTGACAATAATCGGAAATATGTTTTCTTCTGCATTTTAATTATTTCTGGGTATGGATCACATTATGTTTGAAGTATTTATTTTAGTCCAACATGCAAAACTTTAATGAGCTGAATGAAGATACAATGAAGCTTGGTCGTTTAATTGGTTCATCAGCACATGTATTATTTTTAATAAAGCATACACTTAATTTCTTCAAATTAAGTTTTATTTTTATTTGTTTTCGATTCTCAACTCTTGAAAAAAATGTGAAATTTTAGTGTTATACTTCCATATAACAAAATAATTAAAAAAGGAGTATATAGTAACAGAAACTGGGGAAACAAAGGAAAAAAAAATTAAAATACACATAACTCTCCTAAAATTCGGATAGTGTATACATGTAATTAACCTTTAAAATTTGACAAGAGACTTCCCTAGTGTTTTAAATTTATGTGCATAGCCTCCTTCCCTTAACAAAATTATTAATCACTAACAGACTTTGCTATGTCGTATCAAAAAATGACATGGCTTCAAGAGCATATGGTAAAAGGGAAAATATCATCTTAGGACCCCATGGAGAGTTTTTATATCAAGAAGGGACTTTCTACTCTAGGCAATTGTCAGCAAATATAATTTTATGTAAAAACACCTAATTACCCCTAAAGTTTAATAATTTAATGAGTTATTGTTAATTGTCAAAACTCAAATACATGAATGCTTGTTTATGTAGGAGCAACATTTATACAATTAAACTTATGCTATCAATTACAGTCATTTGTTAATTTTGAATGAATTGTTGTTAACTATGTATGATTATTTGTTAAAATCTAAATGAGTACTTGTTTATGTAAGACCAACACATATACAATTAAACATGTGCTATTGGTTATAGTTGGTTACTTGTTAATTCTGAATGGATTATTGTTAATTATGTAAGGTTACTTGTCAAGACACGAATGGATAGTTGTTTATATAGGACCAATACTTATTTAGTTAAACCTATGCTATTAATTTTTTGTAATTTGTTCATTTTCAAATGGATTGTTATTAATCATGTATGGTTACTTATCAAAACTTGAAATAGATATTTGTTTATGCATCCATAAGATTTTAACAATAATTAGATTTTTTCTCATAAAATTTTATTTTCATTAATACCTGGAGTTGTAGTGAAGTTTCAGATTTTTGAAGTATTGTTTTATATAAAAATTCTCTAGAAGTCCTTAGATGATATCTTCCCCTAATAAAAAATAAAAAAACATACAACTCATAATTTTTTTTCTCCGTTCATGTCGATTATTCTCTACTGGGAAAGCAAAAGACATTTTTTTTTTGTGAAAAAAAAGTGTGAGACTCCTTTGATTAAGCTGTGGATCCCTTAAGCCAAAATAAGCCCATCAATTCTTTGTCACCCACTCCACAAGAAGGAAGGAGTCAGACAAAGTTTACGATTTTTGAAAGAAAAAAAAAACGCCTTTTTTCTAAGGGGCAATCTAAAAGGGGATTGTATAGAAGAAAAAAAGATGTCTGGAAAATCTCTATTTTTCTTACGTGGAATAATATTTACAATTCAACTCATGACAAATATGATGTTCAAACCATAGGAAATGCATCAACACATTTTTTTTATTATTTTAAACAAAATTGTACTTTCTTCATCGAGAAACTTCCAGTAAGTTTCAATCTTGTCGTCCGCGGTCAAGGTTGTGGGTTTTCAAAAAAGGTTTGTTAGCCTAGATATTCAACTCACGACTTATAATTCGCAACCATGTAAAATGTCAAAAAAGCTGATATTTTTTAATATTTAATCTTTGACTAGTCAACCTTTCACAAGAGAACCCAGCCAAAATCAGATTCGCTATCATTGGAAGTTTCTTAGAGCTAATTAGAAGCATTCCCCTCTGAAAGAAAATCTTCAAGGTCGAGTCATTGACAATGACGGGAATTATGTTTTCTTCTGCATTTTAATTATGGGTTAAAATACAAAAATATTCATTAATATATTTTTTTTCTACAAGCACCTAATATAACCAAAGGTGCAAGAATATCTATGAACCTGTTATAATGAGTATAACATTACTTATTTCGTTAAATTTGACTGACGTTCGTCAATGTTGATCATTAAAAAAAAGAGAAGCAAATATAAGGCATAAAAATATTCAAAAACTTTTTATTTAGGAGCTTTTGGCATTCTAAAGTCAATAATAATGGTGTATGCTTAACTATTAACTTTATAAAAGAGGCTATAGAGTTAAGCTCAATTTTAACAACTCAAGCTTATTCCGGCTGATTTGAATACTTGAATTATTAAATATTATATTATATTATTTTTTCTTTTTTAATCAATTTCAATTTTTCTTAAAAAATAAGCTTTTCAACGTTTATATAATTTTAAATTTATTTTATTACTAAAAAAGAATTCGGGTATTCGGATTAATTGCATTCAGGTTTGGGTTTGTTTAGATTTTTTCGGGCTTATTTAGATGCTCAAATATGCCTGCAGTAAAGAAAGTTTTTTAAATTTCCCACCTTGTTCCTAAAATTTTTCAAGCTTCTTTGGTCAGGCCCATTATCCTTGACTCAAATTATTGGCTCTAATCTTTTCCAATCTGCTAAAATAACTTGACGTTGATTATGAAGTTTTAAGAATGTAACTTAATGAATTGGAAAAGTTGGCCTATTTTATAAAATTAACGGGTACACATGCACCATTATTATTGACTTTAGGATACTAGAAATTTCTAGATAAAAATTTATGAATATTTTTGCACCATATATTTGGGTCCTTTTTTTTTAATGGCTATTAGTTAAATTAAACAGAATGGGTATTGTTGCACTCATTATAACAAGCTTATGGGTATTCTTGCATCTTTATTCACTTAAGGATATTGTGTGCTCTCAAAGAAAAAGTTAATGGATATTTTTACTCTTTAACTCTTGAATTATTTTTGGATATCATTTCATGCTTAATTAGTTGAATGAAGAAACTATGAGAAAGCTCAGTTGTTTGATTCATCACAAGTAAAATAAATAGAAATGAAGTTTAATTTTTACTCATCAACTTATGCCTGTACAAGTTGTGTAGGTTCTGTCACTTAAACAAGTAATTAAGAGTTAGAAGTTTGTTTTTGACCAAATTTTCATTTTATTGCTAGTAACTGACCTACCTATGTACAACAGTTTTACAACGTAGTACAATCTAACATAGAAAAATCACTATAACAACTTGGATTAGGGTTTTAATATGCCTTTCTTTAATGTCTCACATTCCCAATTTTTTCCTTTTGGATCATTAGCTTTTACATAAAATAAGATGTATCTTTATTTTTTAAAGTCCTAAAATGATAGAATTTTGAAATTTTTTTAATGATTTTAGCCCTAGCCCATAAGAACACATGCATAACTTTTGGTATTTTATGAGTGTAAGGGAAAAATATAGA